CTGCTGATCTACTAACACTAAAGCAACTTCATTTGCCGTTGGTGCATTATACCTGCCTCTATGTTCTTCTGGTGGTTTTTTATCTGCATGTATTACAACTTTAAATGACTCTGAAGGAGGTATTTTATCGATGGTAAATTGTAATGATCAATTGTAAATTATGCGGTGGCATGTCTAGTAAATCCAATGAGTTTAAAAACTCTGTTGGATAATTTACAACTTCAGTAGCATCGCAAACTGTATCTAGATTTGTATGACACCAAGTTTTCTGGTAACAAATTTTGTATCTTGAGATTCAATTCGTTGACCTCCATATTTTTTGCTACTAAAATTGCTAACAGTAAATGAATTATATATAACAATAATTTTAATAACAATAATAATAATAATAAAAATAACTTAAAATTTAAAGAGCAAATAGGTATTAATATCATACAATAAATATTTAAATTTCTATACTAAAAAAAAAACAATGAAATAAAAACGAGATATTAATTTTATTTCTAGTACCTAATTTGTTATGTATTTCTTTGAACATTTGACATAAAAGTATTTAGAGAATTACCAAAAATTTGTTTATTAATTTATTGTCTGTGTACACTGGGATATATCTGGTCAATGAGAGCATCTTGCGAATAAATGATTGTGCAGAAATCGTTCGGTAATTTTATACATCCCATTTCATCTGTAGTAACTTTCCCATCTCCAATATCTAACCATTGTTTTGAGAATCTTTTGCACGCAGCTTTTTTTGATTGAATCGAAATCGAAGTATCGAAATCGTTCGCTATCTATCTTCTGATCATTCAGATTATTCGGATCATTTCAACCCTTTAAATTCAAAATTTCGAAAAATCCTTTCTTAACGCACGTCTACATCATAATAGCTATCTGTATGCCAAATTTCAGCCAGATCCGTCCAATGGTTTGAGCTGTGCGTTGATAGCAGTCAATCAGATTACTGTTTTATATATACAGATTATTTAATGTAATTTGATGATAATTTATGACAAATAAATGAAAAATTGAATTAAAAATTATAAAGCAACTGTTGTATTCAAAAAATAAAATAAATATGTGCCATAATTCGGGTTCGAAAGTTATTGCGCTAAAATAATTAAAATGTATTGAATTATTTCAGTAAAAAATAGCTTCACTTATAAATTGCAATAAGCTTTTTATTTACTCAAATAGTTATTTAAAAAAAAATTATACAAGTGTTTTTTTATTAAGGCTATAGTATTAAAAATCTGAGTTCTTTTACAAAATATTTCGAAATAAAAATTCATATTAACTCTGGAATAGTGATTTTACTTTAATCATTCAGAGGCTTGCAAATAAAATGATCAACATTTAAAAATATTTTATTGGAATAATTTTTATCTTATTTTTTAATTCACTTTTGTATGCCTACTTTAAAAATGATTGCGCTACACAATAAACGATTTCTTTCTCAAAAGTTCTCAAACTCGAAAGATCTTTGATTTGAGGACAGTAAATTGTGCAACTTGTGCCCAAAATAACCAAAAATTATTATTTATTATTACATTATTCTGACATATATTAATAATTTACATATCCCCCATTGTTAGTTTATTTCTTACGTAAAAAAAAATTAAAAGTATCTAAACTGAGGAAAATTAATACAATTGGAATCAAATAGAAATGTTTTTAAAAATTGTATTAAATTGTTTTAAATTTTAGATGAATATAGATTTTAATTCGTACTTGCATGTACATATCAAAAAATCCGAACAATAGAAGGAAAATTGCGAATATAACAACTTCCAAAGATAAGTCAATATTATTATATTATTATACATTAAAATTAATTATTTATTTTTTATAGATCGATCGAATGCAAAAATTAATAAAGAACTAATTTTATAGTTATAGTATACCTGTTGACCATTATCTTTATAAACACGGAATAAAGATGGCTAAAATACATTTATTTCTTATTGTACCAATGATAATATTCAGTTGTTTTGAGTAATATTCGTTTACCTTTGTTTATAGTGATCTGTTGAACGATTTACACTGGTTGGCTGAGAAATGTCATTAACAAAATTATATATATATTTATATGTATACTATAAGGATATTTTAATGGATATTTAAATATTATACTAACGCAACGCAAATTGTTATAAGATTTTTAAATTCATAATATTTTTAACAACAATTGTAAACCATCGCAGTGGTCATAGAACTCATTTTTATACATTATTCACCTCGTAATTTTGACGTTTCCTAGTTAACCATCGAGGTATCGTTTAATAAACAATTTAGTAGCGTAATTGTACATAACGTCCATAAACGTTTTGAACTATTCTAAGCTTATGACAGTGGAACGAGGTCACGCGTGGACGACGACGACGATGACGAAATAATAAATCATAGTTATTTCGTTAGTATAAAATAATATTATAATATTATTATAAATACTACCGTCGCCAAAAAGGTTTTGAATACGTAGAAGCGACGTACAGTGGTCTAAAATTAAAAAAAGCCGGCCAAAAATTAATATTTCACTTTTTTTTTTTTTGATAATTCATTAACTACTACTTACAGCATTATACAAGATATATATCTTTTAAAAATATTCCTTTTCGCATTAACCAAATCGATATTAATTAAATTTTTTTTTTTTTTAAATATGTTTAATTTTTACTAATAATTTAATAATTTCAAACCATTTATTGTTAAAATTAATATAATTTTTGGATTTATTCTTTTGGATGTATATGCATTCAATGATTTATCTTTATAACGAAATTTAGTTATGTGTAAGGCTGTGTAGTTCGTTGAATTTAATTAAATACTGATATCTATAACTATTTTAGAAATTTACAATTTTAATTAATCTAGTCATCGATAGTCACAATCATGTGCACTTACAATAAAACTAGATGATGTATCAAAAAAGATTATATTTCGATTATTTGCTTAAAATTTGCTCTACTGTCGATTAGATGTCATTGAATTAGACGTATTTATAACATCGAAAGTGTATTTATTTAGTTGTATTTACATATTTGATGTGTTTTATTTTATTTTATTTACATTCGATATGACTTTATAACAAATTATTATGTGGAAAGATGTCTATGAGTAAATTATAAGTAACAAAGGGTCCGGTTCATTACAAAATAAAAAAACAGTGCATTGAAATTAGTTATAAATGCTTTTAATATTAACGAGCTCAACGTTGAATTTCATTTCGAAATTTAATTTTTAGATTTTATATAATTCTTCAATGTCTATCTAGTAGCCATAAACTTGATTTTGAGAAATTCGATAAATGTTGTTGGGAAACAAGAGAGAATTATATAGGATTTTATCCTTGGTATTACATGCCACCATGCGTCCATAAAATGTTGTGTTATGGATCTTCAATAGCTGCTTCATTAATATTACCAATCAGCCAATTAAGTGAAAAAGCACTAAAAACTAGAAATAAATATGTCAAATATTATATTCATACACGAAAAACACAACTTCAGATATTTTTCATCGAATATTTTTATTTTCATATCAATTAGTAAGTAATATTTGAGAAGTAGAAACGAAAATACGAAGATTACATTAGTCAGAAAAATACCTACTTATTATCGATAATAGTAAAACCGTAAGTGAATTAGAGCAAAATTATAGTAGTGATTATGAATAAAATATATTATTATATTTATTTGATGTAAATATTTTTCAAAACAAACTCTTGTTTAATGAATAAAAAATAAAATATGTTATTAAAAATTAATTTTTGTATATTAAATCATTTAAATATTTTTGTTCATCTTTTTTCAAATTTAAATAACTGTGCGATGGGCAAAAACTGTTTTATTTATAAATGTTTTGTTTATTTCATTACATCAAATAATTTAATTTACTACGTCTCTTAAGTGTTAGAAACTCTTTAGTTATGTTTTTTACCGGAAATAAAGTCGTAGGTTTTGTGCGTTGACTTTACTAATTGATAATTTTTTGTTTAAAGCAAAGGCAATTTTAATCATCACACATGAAATACAAACATATATGATGACAAAATAGAATAGTTGGCATTTTCATATTTACTTTAGGATATTTGGTAGCCTGCAGTATAAAACAAATGTTAGCAAAAAGTTATGAATTTTGGTTAATTTTCAGTATAAGTCGTTCAGAACACCATAAATTTATTATTACATTTATTATTATTACGCATGTACATCATACACGCAATTAAATCGGTGTATTCCATACAAAAGTCAGGGATTAAATATCTCAGATTCTTTCGTTATAAATCGATACTAATTGGTGTGTATAAAAGCTTCTTTAAATTCAATTATATATTTATATTATTTTGAATAATAATTTTTTTTTTAGAATCACATAATATATCGATGATAATAATTACTTGACTACATTAAACAAAAGTTATAATCATTTAGTATCTTTCCAAAAATTTAAAATATTTAACTGTAATACATCGTCGACGTGTATGTGTGTGCATTTCTCGGTTTATTTCTTTAGATTTTATAATTTGTATTGATTAATTCTACTTTAAAGACCATGTTTTATGAAGTCCACACACGTGATGATTCTCTGCGTGGAAGGTAATACAAGGGCTATACACTACACTTACCTTCCCATATGAAAAATACACCGACAAAGACCTCTAACGGTAATTTCAATGGAAGAAAAAAAATAGAATTGTACTATGAACATGAATAGTAAATTGTTATAAAGTTCGAATAAACACGAATTTTTATTGTAATTTACAGTTATTCGTATGTATCAATATTCTACTTCAGGCTTAGTGGTTCTTTTAACATGTTCAAAAATATTTATACTTAAGAGATTGCACAGATAATGACTAGTTGTACCTGTGTAAATATGTGATGCTAAACTACAGGAATAATAATGAATCAACAACAGGTTCGTTGATCTTAACCACTAAACTGGTTTGGTATTCCAACTAAAAATACACAGCAGTCATACCTTATCTACACGCATGTGTATAAGTTATTCATTTAGTGTACTGTTGTCCATGAAGGAGTGTTGTCTGATAGTTCTCCCTAAAGTTATATCTAATATTTAAACCGATTAAAATGTTATTTATGGTTGTAACGTCACGTTTTCTAATTATGGCTTAATATTATAAAATTGTTTATTAGCCCTCAAATACATGTCATATGTAATGCCATTATGTAAGTAAAATAAATACATATTTTTTCATTCGATGCTTAATATAAAATAGATTGTATACAAATTAGTTTAATATTTTAATTATTATAAAACCAAATTTCAATAAAATCTAACAAAATACAAAACAATCTATTACATACATTAATAATGGATAAAAAAAAAAAATCCATCGAATTCCTTGTATTTTATTGTTGTTTACTAATAAAATTTTTATTTTTGTTCAGTGTTCATTTCAACTAAAATTTCGAAAATTTGAAATTCGTATGAGAATCTTACGATTTGTTATGTTTGTTTTTTACATTACATTACAATATTCTAGTTTACCTTGATTAAATGCAAGGTTGTGTCCATATCCATATTTTTTTTTACTGCGGTAGGTAAGGAAATAAATCAATTTGTTTTGAAATACGGTAATACAAATTAAAAAACATTATCAAATATTTAAAAATTACAGTGTCTAATGATAGTTGCAGAGATTTTTAAAATTTAAGATAGAATTTATGAAAATCTAGTTGATGACTTTAAATTAAAAAATTCTTGTCAAATTCGTATGGTAGTAGATAAAAACTGTTTGATATTGAAACGAATGCTTAGAACTAATTATAAGTATACTTGTTTATATATATGTTACCGGAAATGTTGACATTTAGGAAAGGATGACAATTCCTAGGAAATTATGACAATTTCTAGTAGCGGAAGGAAATGATAATATCATTTCCTAGTATATGTCTAGTAGTTAGTATCATTTCCTTACAATTCCAGGCAATGATGCCATATTTTTTCATACATGTGGTACCATTTTTTTTTTAATTTGATTTAATTAGACTAAAAATAATTATTTTACTATACATAAATGTTAATTACTAATATTATAATAAAATAATAAAATAATATAATAAAATAGAGAAGTTTTTTTTAACTTTTTTTTATCAATTTGATTTGTATAATTTCAGAATTTTTATATTTTACATTTTATTTTTCGTAGTTACTCAGTTTTATTTTCACATGGCAAACCTCCATGACATTTAGAATTACAAATTCTAGATGCCAATATGCAAGCATATTTGTTTGTCTTGCATTTTGTTTTACATTGACATCGGGTAGATCCTTGTGCCCCTGAAATACTATTTACAGTAGCTGCCTCCCGAAGTGATGTCTGTTTTTCTGCGTGACCTGCTGACTCTAAAACAGTAGTTAGATTCAATAAATTTGCCTTGCAAGGATTTATTTCCGATCTTGTGTACATATGTTTTAAAAATCCTTTTTCAGTGCCTATAATTAAAAAAAAAAATAATAATAACAATAATGAATCTCTATTATGCATTTAAATACGACGATGATTAATATGCTTTAAAAATACTAAATTAATTCTAATATAGCTTGTATAAATCTTTTTTAACTTCAGTTATAACCGCTAGTTCATTTCTCAGCGATCCACGAGCGCAATCTACATCAGGAATGCTCAGCCGTACTGTAATTCCAACACTAAGATCATCATATTTTTTATTCGATGTTTTAATCATTTTTTGAGTTTGTTTTTCTAAATTTTGCGGAGATGATTGAACGTGCATTCAGTATATTTGGTTTTCGTTGATAAACTAAATACAAATATTATAGTAAGTAAATTATATTTAAATATATTAAACTATTACATTTTTTTTACCAAGTTCAAAGTCACTAATAACCGATTTATTTTCTTCGACTTTTTCGTCTTCATTTGACTTTAAAATACTTTCTATATCTTCCTCAGATTTCAAAGAGCCGATTCCATCTATTGGTAAACCAATATTTCGCATTTTATTGAGATCCATTTTTAACAAACGCACTGAATGTGTAAATAACAAATACTACTGCTACTGTACTTAGATTGCGATAAATATATGCGATATGTGATAGACATTTTCCACTCAACCATTTTATCGACGGGTGACGATTACGGGTTTTAGTATGTCGCCGTTATGAGTAAGTTATCGTTCTAATAGTTATATTGTAAAGCCGGTCCCACATGACTTGCAGCATCACGAGTTCCAATGCTTTCGTGTAAGAAAGTAATGCGTGATAACATTGCCTAATAAACTACGGAAATGATGACAATTCCTAGGCAATGATATCATTTCCTTCCGCTACTAGGAATTGTTATAATTTCCTAGGAATTGTCATCCTTTCCTAAAATGTCAACATTTCCGGTAACATATATATATATATATTTGTTTTGTGTATATTTTTTATATTTAGTATATATTTTTCATTTCAAATTATTTAGAGATATTTAAATATACTATACTTAGTGGTAGTAATTACTCACAAGCAACTGTAATGCGAAGAAAATAAGGAAAAAAAATTAAATAATAGAAAACTATAGAAACCTAATACGTATACATTTGAGTTATAAATATTATGTTATATAATATGATGATGATAATTTTTTTAAAATATTTAAATTTCCATAATTCCTTCCAAAATCTAAAATATGCATTAGTTCATGTGTAAATTTAACAATATTTCTCATATTTCTCCAAGTAAGTACATGAAAATTAACTTACTTAATCCAAATAATTTTTATTCTATGTTATTCAACAAAAGATGTTTCGTTATTTTTAGTTTTAAACCATGCATTTTATTCTAGTAAGATAATAATGGAAAAAAGAAATACAGTTTTTTGATATTTTTGTTTTTATTTATTTTTAGGCTTCTTTAATGATATAAATATTTTGATATAATATCGAAATCGTGAACTTTTTGACAAATATTTTGATATCAATATTCTTAATATACTGTACAGTATCCCTTTGTAGACCAACATTAAATGGTGATAGAAATTTGATTTTTTTTTTTTGCACCTTTATAAATTATTATTTTTTTGATGAATTTAGAAATTAAGAAATTTGAAATTGGAGGTTTTTTAATATTTTTTTAAGGAGTGGGACAAATAAGTCCCATTGGTCATTTAAGGACTATACTTAAAAGTCCCTATGGTCCGTTACGACACTACTATTTTCTTATTCCCTATGATAAATAAGTAATAATTAGTTAAAATTTAATTAATTAATTAATTAAAAATATAATGACCATTTAAATATGTATATAATTCATGTTTCAAATTAACAACAATATAAACTTAAAGAAAATAGTTATAGTATCAAAAACTAAATGGTCAATTTTTTATATAGCAGACTAATATTAAGAACATTGAGTGGTTACTATGTTTAATATTATAAATGTTCAATTCATAATTTATCATATAATAAGACTTTTATTAAAAACATATAAACATAATAGTAATGTACAAAAAAAAAAAAAAATAATAATTATAATATTAAAAATGAACACATTATTTTGAATGATATTCATTAAAACATGGTTTCTTTTCATTTAAACATAAAAAAATATTACAAGTAGAACATTTTGTATATGGTTTAGATTCTATATTATTTTTGCTGCACACTTCACATCTACCTCTCGTTTTACTAAATTGTAACCAGTGGGCCCCTAAGTTCCATAACCTCACATCTGAAGTTGTTGAAAACAACTGTTTGCCTCTTCTTGGTTGTAGACATGGTCTACCTTTTGAAGTCTCTGGAGATATATCCGTTGTTCTTTTTAGGCCACATTTACCTTGTGTTATTAGTCCTTGGGCAACTGCTCTTCGAAACTGAAGAATAGTTAATTTTGATTCACTAAGCTTGTTATTAATAACAAATGAATTGACAAATATAATATCAATAACACCCCAAAACCATCTATGCCACCATTTTTTTGATTTATATCTTCGATCTCACGATCGTTTAATTTTGTAAATTTATTCATTTCACCAATTAAATAAATTAAAAAAATTAACGAGTAAATAATAATTAATAAATGAACAAACAACACTCAAGAGCGAAAAAAATAGCATGCGTATAAACAATATACTTGGCGCGCGAGTGCTTGACTAAGAATATTCGTCAAAACTATAAAAATGTCGCAATAGACCATAGGGACTTCAAAGTCCGTTGTGATTATTGTCAATAAACACATATTTATTCACAATAATAATGATATTCAATGGTACGTTCTGTTTCTCAGGATTATAACGAAAAGAATAATAATAAAACCCATTGCTTATCTATACTGGTTCGCGCTGTGGCTATTTATATAAATATCGATATTTATTTTATGGGCTAAACTATATTTATTTTATTATGTGATATATTTTACGCCATCTATTGATTTCACAGAAAATTTTCGGGAACATTATTGATTAAAAATGGAGTGATTTATAAGTCACTATGGTCAGATAGTACTTAATTTATTTTACCTATGTTTAAATGGATAAAATACACAGCGGACTCAAAAGTCCCGTTGGTCGGCAAAGGGGTATATCGAATATACTTTTCACTTTTGTATATTATAATTAGGGCACGGAAGTTTATGCACTACAAAATATCGAAATATGCGTGCATTTTTGCGTTTAAAAATCCTGGTATATGAGCTTATATGTCTTTTTTTTTATAATAATACAAGACCAAAAACATTAGCATACTATTTATGTTTATTATTTCAATTTCTATGACTGATTATTAAAATGATTATTTAATATCCATTTTTAACAATTAAAATTTACAACCAACTATTTTGATACATTATCATATTTAACGGTTATCCCCCAACATATTTTCATATATCGTAAAGTACCACGCCACGTCAACAAAAAAATTGGTGTGTATTTAAAATATAGTAAATCATCACTAGAAAAATCTGTTGGTAAATTATCCATTGTGATTTCTTCTTCCAGAATAATTTTTGAAATATTAGATAGTGTTTTAAAGCCCAGATTTTTCTCAATAATTTGTTAAAATTTATTTTTATTTATTTTTCTTTTTTTTTATTAAGATAAGATGTTCCTTGTATTTTGCTATCCTTGGCTATCTACATCTATTGATATTTAAACTGGTACATTTTTAACAATTTTAACATGATTATTAATTTATAGAAATTTAAATAGTAAGATAAATTTGCTTTA